TTTCTTAGTGTACCCCACCCCCTAAAAAAAAGAGAACCTGTTCTATTTGATACATTTAAAACATTTTGCTTTCATCTTTGAATCCACAATCAATGGCTATGAAAGATACAGTCAAGAGTCAGTTGATGTGCCACATCGGACAGGTCTGCTGCAAATGTCCACTTTCGTGAAGTCACTTTGAGGACTGAAGGACACCAGACACAAACCATCGTATTATCAGCCACCTCACAGGCACGCAGAAGTTGAACAATGAATGAGGACCGCTGAAGAATTGATGCATTTAAATTATTATAGTAGTAATATTGAAGAGGTTTTTTTGAGCTTGTTAACCGCTTCAATTTGCTTGGCTCCACAATCAACACTCTTGGTACCAGCAGCCAGGAAATTAAAAGACAAATTGCATGAGGAAAGTCTGCTATCAGGGACCCCTCCAGAGTACTGAAGAGCAATGAGATCAGATTGGAGACTAAGGTGCACCTGATCCAGGAGAATTGATGCCTTTGAGCTGTGGTGCTGGAGAAGAATATTGAATGTAACATGAAGAACAGTTTCATCCTAGAGAGAGTAAGACCAGGCTGCTCCTTGGAGGCAAGGATTCTGAAGTTTCATCTGACCTACTTTAGACATGTTGCAATGAGGGACTAGTCCTTAAAGAGGGACATCATGCTTGGGAGGGTGGAGGGACAGCACAGGAGAGGAAAACCCTGCATGAGATGGATTGACTCAGTGTCTGGGGTAATGGGAGTAGGTATATCAGAGACAGTGAAGTTGACACAGAATAGAGCAGGGTTTAGGGCTGTTGTACATAGGCTTGTCATGACTCACAAGTGACTTGACGGTACATAACAACAACAATACTGAATGTACCGTGGAGGACCAGAAGAGCAATTAATCTTTCTTAGATGATGTGCAGCCAGAGCGCTCATTAGAATCAGGTATTGAGCAGTTCCTTTCCTTTCTCCAGTTACATTTAGAAAAGGAGAAGGTCCGTTAAAGAGAGGAAGACCCTCAAGGAGATGGACTGGCACTGTGGCTAAAACAATGGACTAAGCCTTGGAGGGATTGTTAGTATTTCACAGAACCAGGCAATGTTTTGTCCTCACTCAGAGGCAGAATCTACTCAAAGGCACTGAGCAGCAGCAACAAAGCCTTTTACATGAATTTTCCTGCAATATTCCAGCAGAGGCCAACTACACAGATAGACGATAAACAGAGTCGCGAATGACAAAGGACAGAAGTTCTCCGCCATTTGGCAGCAACAATAGGAGGACTGAGGACAAACTCTCTGAAATCTCTTTGCAGAAATGTCACTGCCACCAGCTGTTTCCTCCCAAGCCAGTCCTGGCACAGGTGCCAAGGTCAGCTCCCCTTGCTCTACCTTAACCAGCAGTGAGACGCAGACTCTCTCCCTGGACCTCACCCCCAAGCACACAGCACACATGCACAGGGCTGGTGTCTGCCTCCTTCTCCACCACCCAGGAAACCTCAGCATGACTCCAGGTATCACTTTTTGCCACTGGTGCTGACAGTGAAGCCACCACTAGCAGGGTTGTTAGAAAGAGGGACAGAGAAGTCAAACTCCTCTTTTAAAAATAAAAGTTTAGATTTGCTAAATAGCTTGGTCAAATTTTGAGAGGTAGCATCTAAAGATAAAGAGAGATTCAGGCTCAAATTAACTTGTTTACTCATTTGTTTTAAAAGGGGATGGGGGAAGGGGACAAGAAATGTAAAGCAACAGTCCCAGGTCTGGCACACTGTTGTTGTCCTTGTTGTTGTTGTTAGAGACCATCAAGTGGACGACCACTAGCATGATCCTGTAAGCAATGGATCTGAATCCTGTCCTGTCCTGCACCACCCTCAAAACCCCTGACAGAAATTTAACAGAACAGCAAGCAACAAATGCTGGCGAGGTTGTGGAGAAACTGGAATCCTGATTCACTGTTGGTGGGAGTGTAAAATGGTGCAACCCCTGTGGAAAGCAGTATGGCGCTTTCTCAAAAAGTTGCAAATAGAGATACCATTTGACCCAGCAATTCCACTACTGGGAATATACCCTGAAGAGACCATAGCTGACATCCAAGCAGATATATGCACACCCATGTTTATTGCAGCTTTGTTCACAATAGCAAGGAGTTGGAAACAACCTAAGTGCCCATCAACAAACGAATGGCTAGAGAAGCTATGGTATATTCGCACAATGGAATACTATGCTGCATTAAAAAACAAGGAACTCATGCAATATTATTCAAAATGGTTGACTCTGGAGAACATTATGCTGAGTGAAATATCCCAGTCACAAAAGGACAAATATTACATGATGCCACTGTTGTAGAATGGGACTGTCCTTGGGGTTGGGGAGAGACTGAGTAAGATGGGTTCAATAATGTATACTGCACTGAAACAGAGGAGGGAGAAAACTGTTTAAAAGAGATATATAACTAGGTATTTCTGTCATCACAGGAGACTAGAGCGAGGGCTACATGGTGGGGGAGGGTTTGTAAAACAATGAAAGAATCTTTTCTTTTACTTTTCCATAATTTTTGACTCATGTACTTATAACTTGTTAGTCAAATTTGTGTCTTCTAGGTTGCAACACCCCCATGATACATCTTCAAGGATATGAACATGTACGGCCAAGCACAATCAATAAGAGTGCATCTAAATTCCAAAATCAATCTCCATAATAGTCTATGTGATTCCTACTGCCAAAGGGGCCCTTTAGAGTAGTGAGAGAAGATCTTCACCCTGAAACCCACGGCGTCCCTTTTCAGCAAGAAGTAGCTAAGAGAATACGCCATCCCCTTTTCCTTATGACTCAGGGTGAAGTCTCTCTCAGGGAGGAGTGATAGGGAATGGCAAAGGACACACTGACAAAGGAGATTAATCAGAACTGGCTTTGACAAGCACTGTGGCATTTGGACAAGAACAAACTTGGAGGAGGGTAGAGAGAATAGTGCAACAATGAATGAATCGAAACCCAAAATCTCTGTAAATGTTTATGAAAATTAATAAAATATAATTATAGAAAAAAAAACCCTGACAGGCTCAAGCGCATGGTTATAGTCATTCTATCGCTCCTCTACCTTTCCCAGCACGATGCCTTCTCCCAAAGCCCGGCCCATCCTATCAACATGCCCAATGTGTGAGAGAAGTTTTATAATTCTTGCCTCTAAGGAACACTCTGTTGCACTTCCCGTTGTGGTTATGTATCATTGGGTCAGACCTGACTCATACTTGACCCTCAAGTGGCTTTTCAAAGGAAGTTAATCACACAGTAGGAGATTGCCTATCCTGTTCCTATTGAGCAGCTGGTGGCCTTGAACCATGTGCCTTCGGCATTGCAGTACAACTTCTTACCACTAGACCACCAGAGCGCCCTAGAACATATAAAATAAAATAATTGCAGCTAATATCTGTTGAGATCTATTTTTTACTAAGCACTCTTCCAAGACTTTTCTTTATATTAATTCATTTAATTTCCCAATATTCTGTGACAATTTCAGTGAAATCCAGAGAAGCTGCTTTGTAATCTGAAAGGCACATGATTCAAATCTACCAGTTGCTCCATGGGAGAAGGATGGGCAACCTCCTCCCATGTGATGTACTGTCTCTAAAAGCCCACTAAAGGGCTAGCTGTGAGTTCGATCTGACTTGACAGCACACAACAACAAGAGCACAATTACCATACACAGTAAATTGAACAGCAACTGCTACTGTCATTGATGGAAGATCAAGGAATGCAGCCTTCTGAATGGATAGCATCTCAATGTCAAGAAAACAGATTCTTACCATTGAACTATAATCAACATCACAATGGATGGAGAGGAGATTGAAACTGTCAACAGATTCATCTTGCAATTAAATCTAGGTCTCCCTACTTCAAAAGGTCTTGAATAGTGAGTGAGTGAGCAACACTCCCAGTGTTACAACAGAACTTAAAGACCCACTCAAATCCTTCCTCTTCATTCCAAAGGATCCTAGCTAAGGTCCTCCCATCCTCCTTGGAACTCAGTCCTCTTGTTTTCTATACCTCTCCGCAAAACACCTATCTGTGGAGTTGGAAGTGAATCAGAGATGAACCCGCCAGTGGGTTTTCAGAGGCTGTTAAATCACACAGGAGCTTTCCCATCTTTCTCTCACAGAGCTACTTGTGGATCCACACTTCCAGAGAAAACACTACGTTTGTGTTAGCGGTGCAACAACCCATGGACTACACCATCAGCGCTTTCCTCCTGTACCCCTCAATTACTGTCCCACCCACTTCTGTCTGACCCGTCACTCGTTCAGTGCAGTGGGTGGATTGGAACCTCCTGCCTTCTGGAAGGTAGTCTTGGAAAGGGTACAACCAGAGTGCTCCTTTGAGGCAAGGACGACAAGGTTCATCACTCATACATTGGACATGTTGCTAAAAGAAGCTATTCCTTTGAAAAGGATAACATGCTTGGAAGGGTGGGATCAGCGAAAGAGAGGAAGACCCCACTGAGATGGAGTGACATGGTGACTGCAGCAATGGGCTCAAGTGTATCGGAGGTGAGGATGCCACAGGCTAAAGCAGGATTCAGATCTGTTGTCTTAAAGGTAACTATGGGTCATACTCAACAGCACCTAACAACAAGCCACTGGAACTCCTTCCTGTACCTCCAGGACACCCTTATTGTACACTGCCTTCTGTTTATCAGCCTTCCTCCCCAGCCTCCTGGGAGCCCAGAACCTTGCATGTCATAGGCACCCAATGTGCATGTGTTCACATACCAATGAACACAACTGTAGCTGCTTATTTGGAAGAGCTGCACTCAGGGGCTACAGTGCCTGTGTTTCCTGTACCTATACCGTTTCTTTTTATGTGTATCCCTCCTAGACCCTTTGGAGATCAGGGTCTTGCACATCAGTTGGTCAGTCCTCACATTTTGAATCCAGTGAACCCATTTATAGCTGGTGTTCAGGCAGAGTGACTAGTCGCCTGGAGACAGAAGAGGAAGATCAGAAAGCTGCTCACTCACCAGTCCGTGGCAGGCACTGAGGGCTGCGGTCCCGACGCTGGTCCCCTGCTGCAGAACTGTGCCCCTGAGATGACAAGGGGGCGCGGAGGAAGCTGCCATCGTAACATGGGAGAGGTTCCCATACCGCCTCTCCACAACGTAGCTACTGGAAAGAAATCCGCGATGAACCGTCATGTTAAAAAGCAGATCCTTGTCCTCGTGTGAGAGTTTGTAGTACACCTGCTCCTCCCGGCCATCCAAATCCCTCTTCTGCCTGCTGCTGCTGGTGGTGGTAGTGGTTGGATGGTTCAAGCCATAAGACAGAAAACGTCCACTTGCGTCCACGCGGACAGGCCCCACCACGTGATACTCGGGTAGTGCCCGGACAAAACGCTCTACAAGAAAAGGAAAGAGGGTGAAATCCAGAGAGAATCTGTAGTGAGGCGAAAACATGGCCATGTGGTTCCCAGACGCTAGATTGTGAATTGCAAAACGCCACTGTCAACTGTCAGGGTTAAGACCCTGCCCACCATGTGTATCTGATCAACTTCAAACTCCCTGAACAGGTCAGAATCACACGATGCTCTCTCTCATGTGGTCTGGAAGGCTGAGCTACCACCGCGGCATAGTTAGGAATAACAGGGACCTTACCAATGATGCTGTTCATCAAGGAGCACTCTGGTGGCCTAGTGGATAAGGAGCTGTGCTGTCAACTCAAAGGCAAGAGGGTCTAATTCACCAAGTGCTCTGAGAGAAAAAGATGAGCAATCTCCTAACATGTTATTTACAGTCACAGAAAATTCTCTTGAAGGTCAGCTAAAAGTCAGTTCTGATTGGATGGCAGTGAGTTGTTTCTTAAACAGTAAGCCAAGTATTCATTCATGAGGAATATGATCAGGAAAATAAAGAAATTGCTTCACGTTCAGAGTTCATTAATAAAAATCAGAGTGCCACTGTTTATGCTGTTGTTGCTGTTGTTGTTTTGTCCTGTCTAGTTGATTGTGACTCATAACGACACTTTATACAACAGCCCTATATCCTGCTCTATCCTGTGCCAATCTTATTGTCTCTGACACACCTACCCCATTATCCCAGTCACTGAATCAATCCATCCCATCAAGGGTCTTCCTCTCTTGCTCTGTCCCTCCACCCTCCCAAGCATGACATCCCTCTCCAAGGACTGGTCCCTCCATCCAACCTGTCCAAAGTATGTCAGAAGAAGCTTCAGAATCCTTGCCTGCAAGTAGCAGCCTGGCCTCACCCTCTCCAGGATGAATCTATTTGCTTGCCTAGCCATCTATGGTATATTTAATACTCTTCTCCAGCACCACAGCTGAAAGGCATCAATTTTCCTTCTATCATCCCTAGTCATTGTCTAGCTTTCTGACACATCACAAGTAATTTCAAAGACCATGGCCTGAATCAGACAAACCTTAATCTCTAGAGAGACATTGTTGTTCTTCAGTACTTTGGAGAGGTCTCTGACAGCAGACATTCTCAATGCAATCCATCTTTTAATTTCCTGGCTGCTGGGACCAAGAGTATTGATTGAGGAGCCAAACAAACTAAAGCTGTTAACAATTTCAATCTCTTCATTATCTATCATGATGCTGCCAATCAGCCCAATGGTGAGAATCTTTGTTTTCTTGATGTTGAGCTTCAATCCATATTGAAGGCTGAAGTCCTTGACCTTCTGCAGCAAGTGCTTCAGGTCCTCCTCAGTTTCCGCAAGCAGGGTTGTGTCATTTGTGTAACACAAATTGTTGATGAGTCTTCCTCCAATCCTGATGCCACATTTCTCCTCATAGAGCTCAGCCTCCCAGAAAATCTGATCTGCGTATAGATTGAAAAAGTATGGGTGTAGGACACATTCCTGATGTACACTTTTCTCAAATTTGAACCATGCAGTGTTTCCTTACTCTGTTCCGATGACTGCCTCCTGGTCCACATACAGGTTTCACATTAGCACAATCAAGTATTCTGGGATTCCCTTTCTTCTCAGAGTTAGCCACAGTCAAACACCTTTACATAGTCAATGAAACATGGATAGACATTTCTCTGGTACTTTCTGCTTTTAGCCAAGATCCATCTAATATTAATTATAAGATCCCTAGTACCATGGACTCTTCTTTTTTTTTTCTTTTTTTTTATTGGGAAAAACATATTGGGGGTACAAGGAGGTGAGGGTTGGGGGCAGAAAGGTGAGGATGGGCCAGGATGCAGCTGCAGAGCTGCACAGTTTGGTCGGTGGGGGGAGCAGGTGAAGGAAATGATGAGGGTCCAGAGGGGACCAGATACTACAGAGGAATGACAAGCATTTTCCAATGGTAATTAAACCAACTGTCTTATTGATTTGGGAATTGGATGCCGACTCTCTGGCTTCTTCATGCTGAACAGGGGCATAGATTTAAAGGGGGGAAGGGAGGACGCTTTATCACCTTACTGGTGGTCTTGGGTTAAAGCTGCTTGCCTACTTGCTCTGTTAGAAGATATTTTCCTGTCATTTGCTCCCCTCTGGACTGCAAAGTGTTTTCCCAGGTGGGTCCAGTGGGGATGGCTGGTTGAACCCAGAGGCTCCATCCTCCTTTGTTTCCTTAGCTGTCAGTTGTATTTCCTTTTTTTCACTGGCACTGGGTTCAGGGTCAATTCTGGAGTAAAACTCAGAGTTAAGGTTACCTATAGGAAAGGGAGCAAACCTAGAGAGAACAAACTTGTGAGTTACAAATAGAAGGGCTTTGAGGGTGTTGCTTTCAGGTTTACTGGGAAGGGAGGGTGGCAGAAGGTGGTCTAGGTAACATTCTCTGGATACCCTAGGCATTCTTTTTTTTTTCCCTCCTTCCCCACCCAGGGGTCAATCTGGGGACAATGGCACAATCTGGGGACTGAGGAGCTCACCCTGAGGGCCGCAACAGCTCACCCCGAGCCAAGGGCCAAGGGCAGCCTGCCCCGGGCAGAGGGCCGCGATGGCTCACCCCGAGCCGGGGGCCAAGGGCAGCCTGCACCGGGCAGAGGGCCGAGGGCAGCCTGCCCCGGGTAGAGGGCCGAGGGAAGCCTGCCCCAGGCAGAGGGCCGAGGGAAGCCCGCCCCAGGCAGAGGGCAGAGGGAAGCCCGCTCCGGGCAGAGGGCTGTGACAGCTCACCCCGAGATGGGGGCCGAGGGCAGCCCATCCCGAGCAGGGCAACACCCCCCAGGAGCTGGCTGGTATACTCCCTCTCCAATTGCCCAGTCTGGTCCCCTCGCCTGACTGAGGACTCTATGGTCAAGGATAGTGTTTCCAATTCCAGTACTACCACTTTTAC